CAGCACCGGGCGTAGGACAGGTCAGGAGAGGCAGGGAAGGCTAAGAGACCTAGAACTGATGAAGCATCTGCTACTCACTGGCACCACACACAACATGCTCTTGGGTCCCCAAAATCCGGGTTATCCAATAAGGACAGCATTCAGAGGAATCAAAGGACTGCCATCAACTCGATGAGAGCTTGTATGGGGCCCCTAACTCAACAAAAGCATTGGTGGGAGCCAACTTAGCAAGAGGGAGATTCCAACACTGAGAAAGGATAAGAGGGAGCAACCAAGTCAAATGAGAGACTTGAAAGGGAGCCTATAATACAATGATAGTCTTAGAGCAAGCCCTGTGACTAAAAGAGAGTCTTAAAGGGAGTCCCCAACTCAATGAGAGCCTTGAAGAGAGCCCCCAACTTGATGATAGATTTAGAGGAATATCCCCAAATCCACAAGAGCCACGAATTGAGTCCCCAAATCACTGAGAGCATTAGAGGGAGTCACAAATCAAAGAAAGCATTAGAGGGAACCCCTAACTCAATGACAGCTGTGGTTGGAGTCCCTAACTCAATGAGAGGTTTAGAGGGATCCCTTAGCTCCATGAGAGCCATGGATTGAGACTCCACCTCAATGAGAGCCTTGGAGGAAGCCCCCACCTCACTGAGAGACTTAGAAGGAGTCCCTAACTCATGACAGCCTTAGACGGATTTCTCGGCTCAATGATAGGGTGATTAGGAGAGTCCCACTTAATGAGAGTCTTAGAGGGTGTCCAAACTCATTAAGAGCCTTATAGAAAGCCCCCATCTCAATTAGAGGCTTTGACAGAGGCCCCAAGTTAATGACATCATTGAAGGCAGTCCCTAATTCAGTGAAAGCCTTGGAAGGAGCCCCCAACACAATGAGAGCCTTGGAGGGAGCCTCCAACTCAATGAAAACCTTGAAGAGAGCCAAACACAATGAGAGCCTTGGAGGGAGCCCCCAATCCTACAAGAACCTTAGAGGTAGTTGCTAAGTCAATGATAGACTTGGAGGGAACCTCTGATGTAATTATAGCCTTAGAGCAAGCCCCATGACTCTACAAGAGTCATAGGGACAACCTCAAGCTCAGTGACAGTCTTAAAGAAAGCCCCTAACACAATGAGAGCCTTGAGGGAGTCCTAAATCAATGAAAGTCTTAGAGGAAGCCCCTAACAATGGGAACTGTGGTTGGAGTTCCCAAACTCAATGAGAGCCTTGCAGGGAGCTCCCAACTTGTGATAGTCTTAGATGAATTTCCCAACTCAAGAATGGGCTTACTGGAATCCTCCTACTCAGTGAAAACCTTAGAGAGTGCCCCAAACTCAATGTGAACTTTAGAGGGAGCCTCCTAACTCAGTAAGAGCCCCAGAATGAGCCACAAACCCAATGAGAGGCTTGGAGGGAACCCCAAGTCAATGAGAACCTTGAAGGGAGTCCCCCAACTCAATGAGAACCACAGAGGGATCCCTTCACTCAATGAGAACCATGGAGGGAGGCCTCAATTTAATGGGAACCTTAGAGGGAGTCCCCAACTCAATGAGAGCCTTCTAGGGAGACCTCAGCTCAATGAGAGTTTTGGCGGGAGCCCCCAATTCAATAAGAGCCCCAGACAGACGTCTTCACTCAATGAGAGCAAGGGAGGGAGTCTCCTAGTCAACAAGAGCATTGGAGGTAACCCCCAAATGAATGTAGACTTTCAGGGAATCCTCAACTCAATTAGAGCCTTGGAGGGAGCCCCAACTCAATGAAAACCTTTAAGGGAGCCCCAACTCAATGAAAGCCTTAATGCAATTCCAACTCAATTATAGCATTGGAGGGAGCCCTCAACATAATGAGCACCTTAGTGGGAGCCACCAAGTCAATGAGAGACTTGGAGGGAGCTTCTAATATGATGATATCCTTAGAGGGAGCCCTGTGACTCAATGAAAACCTTAATGAGAGCCCCGAACTCAATAATAGTCTTAGAGGGAGTCCCCTAACTCAACAAAAGCCTTAGAGGGAGCCTCTAACTGAATGAGAGCCTTGAAGGGAGTCCCCAACTCAATGAGAGCTTTAGTGAGATCCCCTAACTTCATGAGAGCCTTGGAGAGAACCCCCAACTCAATGAGACACTTAGCATGATTTCCAAACTCAATGGGAGGCATGGAGGAAGTCCCCTATTCAAAAAGAGACTAATAGGTAGACCCCAACTGAATGAGAGACTTTTGGGGGGTCCTCAATTCAGTGAGACCCTTGGAGGTATTCCCCAACTCCAGTAGAGCCATGGAGGGAGTCTACAACTCAATGAGAGCAGTAAAGGTATCCACCAACTCAATGGCAGGCTTTAAGGAAGCTCCCAACTAAATTAGAGCCTTAGAGGAAGTCCTCAACTCAATAAAAAGCCTTGGAGGGAGCTCCTAACTCAATGAGAGCTATGGAAGTAGCCCTCAACTCAATGAGAACCTGAAGGGAGGCCCCAACTAAATGAGAACCTTGGGGGAGTCCCCAACTCAATGAAAGCCTTGGAGGGAATTCCAACTCAATAAAAATGTTGGAGAGGGCCCCAACTCAGTGAGAACCTTAATGTGTTTCCAACTCAATGACAGCCTTAGAGGGAGCCCCCAACACCACAAGCCTTTTAGTGGGAGCCACCAAATCAATGAGAGACTTGGAGTGAGCTTCTAATGCAATGATAGCCTTAGAACAAGAACTGTGACTCAATGAAAATCTTAGAGAGGGCTCCTTACTCAATGAGAGAGAGCCTTGGAGGGAGTCCCCAAATCAATGAGAGCTTTATAGGGATTCTTTAACTCCATGAGAGTCATGGATTAAGCCCACAACTCAATCAGAACCTTGGAGGGAGCCCCCAACTCAATGAAAGCTTTAGAGGGATCCCCTAACTCTATAAGAGCCATAGATTGAGCCTCCAATTCAATGAGAACCTTGAAGGGAGTCCCCAACTCATGAGAACCTTAGAGGGAGCCTCTAATACAATGAGACCCTCTAAGGGATCCCTTCACTCAAAGAAATCCTTGGAGGGAGCCACTAATTTAATGAAAGTCTCAAAGGGATCTCTTCACTTAATAAGAGCCTTGGGAGGAGCCCCAAATCAACGAGAGGTTTGGGGAGAGCCCCCAAGTCAATGACAGCCTTGGAGGGAGTTACCAACTCATTGAAAGTCTTGGAGGGAGCTCTTAGCTCAATGAGACTCTTGGAGGGGGTTTCTAATTCAATTAGAGCATTGGAGGGAGCCCGTGAGTCAATGGAGGCAACACCCAATTCAAGAGAGCCTAAAACACTGCTAAAAAAAATTCCCCCTTTTCTGCTTAGAGAGATGTTGGGCTTGATGCTAATTTGTAGATAAGGAAACTGAGGCTCAGAGAAGAGAGTCACAGTTACCACCATTTAATGACATAGGCATGTTTTGAAAGATAGCCTCTACCATCAGACACCATTTTATTTATTTATTCATTTAGTCATTCATTCATTTTTTTAAAGATTTATTTAATTTTGTATCATGTGGATGTTGGGAATTGAACCTGGGTCTTCTGAGGCAAACATATTTCTAACCATAGAGCCATCTCTCCAGCCTCGGACACCATTCTATTTTAGTGTGTGTGCATACGTATGTGCATGCGTGTACATGTGGAGGCCAGAGATTGACTTTTAGAGAACATTTTTTGCATCTGTTTATGTCTCCTGTGTGCATGTCTGTGTCATATATACCAAAGCACGCATATGGAGGCGATCAGAGGACAGTGCACAGGAATCTCTTCTCTGCTTCTACCATGGGTCCAGAGAATCACGCTCTGACTTAGCCGCAGGTGCTTTTACCCCTGAGACATCTTATAGGGTGACTCTCCACTCTGTTTCCTTTATTTTTTTTGTGATATTTGCTTCACGCAACCTGAATTGGCTAAGCTGTTTGGTCAGTGAGCTCAGAGATCCCTCTGTCCTTGCTTCCCCAGCAGGCTGGGTTATAGACATTCACCTTTCTGACTGAGCTATTTCTCCTAGGCATGGTTGTCCCTTCTGCTGAAGGGCTGACTACCCTAGGAAGGTTGAAAAGACCACCTTATACCTGTCAAATGCATGGTCATTTTTGAAAAGTGTTTTCCAAAGGGGCCTTTAGTTTCTACCCAGAGGACCCTGGGGAAAGGGCTAAAGGTCTGTAAAAATGTATGAGGAGCTGGGGAGCTCCCGGTTCTCTCTGCTGGTCTGCCCAGCTGTAACCAAAGCCACACTACAGGGGGGACAGGAGACAGGCCAGCCTTCCTAGGCCTCAGTTTCCTCCTGTGTCACATGCAGCCATCTATGAGAAGTGCCACCAGGGGGCTGTAGAGGGACGCTGCAGGGGCAGGTGCCCCCACCAAAGCCCTCAGCAAGACGGGGGCTGCTTGCCTTTGTCTTGACAACAGGAAGAGGGGGGAATGGGGATGAGGCCAGGGCCCCCTCCTTCTGCCCAACAGCCCAGATGAGGTGGCTGTGTGGGTGGGCGGGCAGAGGCTCTGGGGAAAACAGTGAGTCACCACCGGCCAGAGCCTGAAAGGAGCGTGTCCCTCCCGGCTGGATAGAGCGGTGGCGGCAGGTTTCATGGGTAATTATGTAATTTATGAGTCTCCTGCTCCTGGCTCTGTCTGAGTCAGCCGGGCTGAGTCGTGACCAAGCTGAGGCCCAGCAATGAGAGGCGCGTGGGCACAGGCTGTATCCCAGGATCTGGCTTCTGCCCCTGGGAGCTCAGCTTGTGCGGAAAGAGCTGGAAGGGTGGGGGGAGGTTCATGTGAGACCCCAGGATGAGAGGGGTCTTTTCATGTCCCTGGTTCTTTAACCAAACTATGGGGCTGGTCCACAGGGGTCAGGAATCCAGTTGCGAACCCCTGCTTTGGGTGTTGCTTTCAGCAAAGGACTTGCAGGACAGAGCCCAGAGCCATCCCAGGAGGCCCCTCCTGAAGGAGTCCAGACCATGCTGTTAACCCCCAACCCCACTTAAAAGTCCCTCTGAACACAGACACGTAGGCATATTTACATTTTATGATATATGTTTATTATTCAAAGGGCTCCACACACTGAGGCTTGAAAGCCAAGAGCAGAAATCTTTTTTTCTACCCATGCTCAGTCCCCTGGGTCTGCCTACCCACCCCCCACCTCAGGCTCCTAAGCAAGGGCTGCTCAGGTCCTGCTGAGATCTAAAACGCAAGGCTGGGGGCGGGGAGGCAGTGGTAAAAAGCAGGGGATATTAATGGAGGGGGGGCTCGGAGACGGATGGCTCAGGGTGTGGCAGGGGTACTGGATCCCACTGGGTCCTGGGTGGTCCTGGTCCTCTCCCCAAGGGGCATCTTCTCCAGTCAGACGTCTTCATTGTCTTCAGCAGAAGATCCAGGGGGAAAAAAGGCAGCAAACAGGAGCTGAGCGGAGCAGCTACTGGCAGATGAAAGCAAAGAAGGCATTAGAGGGAGCAAGTTTCTCTGGGTCACACAGCACCCCATAACTCCTGAGCCACCTGGCCAGCTGGCACAGAGACCTGTGTTCCTCCTTCACTAAGTGGCCCTGGGATACCTTCTAGCTTAGTCTCTCTGTCTGCAAGGAGCCTCCACCCAGGACAGAAAATAGATGGAGACCCCGGGGCTCACACAGGTGGCAAGGCCATCCCCCTCTTGTCCTTTCCACTCTCCCCCAACTGTCTTATCCCACCGCGCCCTCCCCCTCTCTATTTTTCCTGGCTAAAACCCACCACAGACACCACCACACCCGGAAAGAGATAAATAAATAAAAGAAAAACAATCTCAACTGTGAAAAGCAGTCCAAATCAGAATTCTTTTTCCGGCCTGAGTTAATTACACTTTAAACTGGCATGTTTACTGATGGGGATTTCGAGTTAGCAGAGACGCCCCCCCCCCAACTGTTTGTACAGTAAACTTTGCAGGCTGCCGGCTCCCCCAGGCCTTGGCAGCCCTGCAGCTCTGGCTACCCTGCCTGCCAAGGAGAGCGTAGCAGAACCATGTATTTTTGAGTGTTAGAGAAAACGAAGCTGTCGCAGATGGCAGGATTGGGGTGGGGTGGGGGGCAGGGTTGGGATGTGTGCCTCCAACTCCATTCTGTGCATCTTCTACACAACTTCTGGACCCCTTGTGCCCTAGGAAAACCCCATCCTTGATCCAAGCCCTAAGGGAACCAATAAGTCCTGAGGGCAGACACTCACCAGGCCCACTGATGGCTTAAGGTCAGGCCTCGGGGCTTGCTTGTAGCCATGGCTGTCCCATGGGCATACCCGAAGGGACGGCTCCAACCTAGGAACAGCAGTTGGGTAGGTGGAGTTCCTGAACATCCACGCCTGAGGGCCAATCCAGTGTCACATGCCTACAATGGAAGGACAAGGGAAACAGGCATTCACAGTGCCTTTTCTGTATGCAACCTGGGCAAGCACAGGCACACATGCAAACAAGGTCCACAGCAGCGTCGATAAAAGATCACATGATGAACGTCCGAGGGCAAGTGAGATCGTGTGTTGGGCTGGAGCGAGAAGGCTTCCTGGAGGGGGCAGGGCCTGGGGCAGCCTGCCCTCCCTCGGGGTCCCTCGCACTCCCAGCCCTGCCACCTTCCTTCGGAGGCTGCTGTTCTGTGATCCTCTAGCTGCCCTCCACGTCGCGGGGATAATGAGAAAATGATGGACGAGCCTCCATCAGGCCCCATGTCCCAGCCCTCAAGCCTGTCCTCGCCCATGACAAATGGCCCCACCACCTCCACAGGGTCTTTTCAGCAGCCCTGGCTGTAGCGTTGGTAACATTGCTGGAGATTTATGTTGTCTTCCCTGGATGTTTCTCCCTTTCCTTGTTTCTTAATTTCTTCAAAAAAAAAAAAGTGTTTTTATTTATTCATCCCATAAACACTCTCTGAGTGCTGCCCATGAGCTTCCTCCCAGCTGTTGATGCATCACCTCCCGGTGCCAGCATCCGAGCCCATTTGATGCAAGGGAGACGGGTGTTTTCTGAGCATCTATAAGCAGCCCTAGGGGTACACAGGTTCCCATAACCCTTCAAATCTTGACAAAGAAACACTATTGACTCACTAGACATGGGTCTGACTCCAAGTCCGCATGGGGACAGGACCCTACAGTCCAGAGTTCTTAACTGCTCAAAGATGTGAGAAGAGAAATTGGCCAGGAGCGGGGCAGACTCAGGGGATTCAGTCAGCCTCTGGGGATCTCAGATGAGGGATGACATCTTTAGAACTATCCTAGCCTGTCCAGCACACAAGCTAAGATGTACGCAGCTCATTCATGCAGTGCTCCAGCCTCTGACAGGATGCAGCAGGCACGCACACACACACACACACACACACACACACACACACACACACACACACAATGACAGAGATGGCTAATGCGGGCTTTCAGTAGAAGCAAACAAAACAGCCAATTCCGGCCTGATATTTAACATCCACAGTGCCCTGGGTTTCCTGATGGAATAGGCAGCCCCATCTCAAGCCAGACAGGAATGAAAGCCTCTTAGTTAATGGGAGAGGAAACAGGTAAGTTAAAAGGGAGAAAAGAAAAGCCTGGTGATCCTGGCAAGAAATGTCTTGGGTAAAGTGAGCCTGCTGCACTATACAGAAAGACGTGGAAACCAATTCAATGAGCTGTCTGTCATCCATGGCACATGGGTCATTTCGAGAGGCACATGGGCCAGCACAAGTAGAAATGTTAAGAACACATAGCCTGGAGCCCTGTCTCCAGATAGGAGATCTTGGAAAGTCATGCAACCTTTCTGGGTCCCAGCAAATTCCTCTTCCGTAGAAATAACCTACTCCCCTCACAGGTCACAAATACTCACTGGGGACAGCTAATACTTACTCCCCCCCCACACACACTCCCCTTAAAAACAACAAAGAAATGCTCCACTGGCTCAGTCCAATCACATCCAGAAGAGACGATGGGTGGGCAAACTGGCTCTAACATCTGCCAGGCACAGAGAAACAGCCTGTGCTCTGTGACCTTGGCACAAGGGGTTTACATGCTATCTCAGAGATGGTGAATTCTCTGACCCTAGAAGTACCCCCGGGGACTTTCTTCCTGCCTGCCTGCCTGCCTGCCTGGGGGACAGACATTTTCACTTGACTCATTGGATGAGAAAAGTCCTTTGTTTGTCTTTTCTTCTCCTCAAACAATGGATAAATCTAGTAATTTTGCTTTTATTAAAGTCTGCATCAACAGGGAGGGATCATCCTCTTTGGGTCTCCAATGAGTCTGAGACGTGCATGCTGCTGACTGCTTGGCATCCCAGCCGACATCCCACCTCTTGCATCATTCTCCCTTGGTGGGTGAGGTACCTGAGGCTTTCCTCATCAGTAGTGAAGGGACTTGGGGTGGCCATCCTGCTAATGCTGAGGTGTGGCTGTGCTTACATTGGAGCAATTAAACTGGGAGACCAGCAGCGGCCTCGCACACACGTTTAATATATTCTAAAGATGTGTCATTAACAGCAATTTCCATCTGCAAATGTTCCCATTTACTCAGGTCCATGCATAAAATATTAGCCCTGACAGCAGATCAGGCCTGCTGTACAAGGGGCTCCATGGGCCTCTGGCTCATCGCCACAGAGGCATTCATGAAGTGGAGGGGGGTTGTGCTTAGATGAATCTGAGATCTAGCGTGGGGCCCCAGCCACAGAGTGGAGAAAAGCCTGTACACCTAGCTGACCTGTCTCTTGCTGCAGGAACTCTCAAAAGAGTGATATTCTAGGGTAGGGTAGTGGCGGGGGGCTGGAAAACCAAACAGCCTCTAACAAATGCAAAGACGATGCAAAACCCGGCTTCCATATTTATGGAATCAGCCACCACATCTTATGGAATTCCTGCTTCACGCTCACCACTTTCCTGGGGATTAACCTAATACGGTTTCTGCCTTTGGGGACTCTGTTAGTCAATCAGCATGCTTCATTATTCTGTCACTATAGACCTGGCCTGGATCCTAAGGCTTAGAATGAAGCAGAGAATAAGTCAAGGAAGTAAGAAAGAAGGGAGGAAAATGGGGCGGGGTGGGGGAGGGAAGAGGAGGGAAAGAGGGAAAAGACGAAGGGAGGGAAGGACAGGAAGGGAGGGAAAAATGCCTTGGATAATCTTACAGTGTTTTTTTTTTTGGGTGTGTGTGTGTGTGTGTGTGTGTGTGTGTGTGTGGCGGGGGCCGGGGTGGGGGTGGCAGGGAAGGGTGCTCAGAGAGCCTGAGACCGTGAAGACAGCACTAGGCAATTTGGGATAACAGGGAAAAGGCAACTATGAGCAGCTCCCAGATGAAGGGGAATGGGAAGGCCTTCCTGAACAAGAGGAAGAGACTGAAAAGAGACCATGTGCCATGTCCAAGCAAGAGTGGGCAGCCAACCCTTTGGGCAGGACTGTGGGGGAATGGCGATGTAGAGGGGAGGGAGATACTGTCCTCTGTGGGCATAGAGGATTTTGTTGCTGAGGAGGCCCAGAAGAGGTGAAGAAGCCCACAGGGTAGAGCTGCCAAGGCCAGGGTGTTACTTGCATTGGTGGGGCAAAGCAGGTCTACTCAGAGAGAACTCTTCCACCCTGGAGATCCTTACCAAATACCAAATGTTCCTCCCGGGCATGATCAGCTACTTTCTGAGGTCCCCGAGTCTCCGGGTCAAGCCTCTATGTCAAGCTCACAGGGGTAGGACAGAGATAGAGTACAAAGACGGAGAAAGCATGACTTAAGTACAGGCTAAACCCTGTCTGGGTGGGACCTGGGTCTGCTTGAGACAGGGGCGCAGCTGGGGTACCACTGCCTCATACACTCGAGGATACACTGTTGTTTCCAACAGAGAAGAACTGGGAAAACAACAGGCAAGGATACAGCCTCACACACAGACTCTGGTTTCAATCAACACACAGGCTTCTACGCTGGCATCAGCAACTCAGAGTGTAAGTGGTCCAGGGTAGGATGTCATCACACAGAAAGTGAGCATCTCAGAGACAAGCTACTTCAGGTGTCACCAAGCAGCATGGGCGCTACATAGGGTGCTTCTTCCTCTAAGATGGGCTTCCCTAGCCCTGCTGAGGGAGATGTGATGCCCTGAGTCGGGGTGAGTCAGACACGAGCCTGACCATCAAGCTGTGTGCAGTGGGCCAGCAGAGTATGGCCTTCCCCTGACACCCAGACTCACAAAGGTTAAGTCTAATGCTAGAGAGAGGGGGCCATGCATGAAGAATGGAGCTCCATCATGGGCTGCATGTACAACCAGCTGGCCTGATTCTTTCCCAACAATTACGCCATCCCCCCAAGCCCTCATGGTACTGGGAGGCACCCCAGGTGCAAGGCATGCAGGCATGCAGCCCTCAGTGGACCGCCTTAGATAGGGACTGACACCTACTCCTGCGGCAAGAGGCATGGAAAAGCAGACAAATTCCAGGAATCCATCACACACCAGGCCAGTGCTTCGTGGCCAGCCTGCAAGGTTGGTGTGATCCCAGGAAGCTCCTCAGGATGGGTGTGAAGCTGCGGCCCAGTGACGAGGGTGACAGGCGTCATACAGAGTCCATGCATTCACCTACCGAGCGGTGGTGTGGCACCTGGGAGGTACTGCTGAGTGTCAGGAGTAACAGGTGGTATTGAAAACAGGCCATCTGTGTTATATTCGTCATTAATAAAGCGAACTCATCACAGACAACCTCTCCTCAAGTACCCAATGTTGGCTGCTGTATCCATGGAGCTTGCATCACCTCCTGAAGCTGCCCTGGGGAGGAGGGAGGGTAGACATGAATGGTGAGGGGAGCTGGACATGGACAGCACACAGCCTGTCCCACCCAGCCCAGGTTCCCGCTGAGGCAGCAACTTAGAAGCACCATCCCGTTCCCCACCCCCCCACCGGGGGCTGCAACTCCAAGAGCTTCTCCAAGCCGAGCGTTGATACCGAGAAAAGATCAACCATGTATTATTCGAAGTCAGCCAAGCGAATATAACACGGTCGATCTCCCTTCAAGTACCAGCAGAGGTGCTGAGCTGAGGTAGTAGCATTCTGGACGCAGGCTGCAGCGGGCATCGACGGCTAGTGGACCAGGTGAAGTACATTAGAAACAATTACTTTCCAGCTGGTCGACCATCCGTCCCATACCCCAGAACAAGATGATTCCAGGTTCTTCCCTGAGGTGCTGGGGTCTCCAATCGGCCTCCCTGGAGGGATTTTGATACCGAAAAGGGGTTCACCGAGCAACATTCGTCCTCCAGATGCAAAGTTGCTCGGGTAACCTCTCTCCGAGTACCACGGAGAGACTTGGATGCTCAGACCAAGGCCGATGCTTCAAGGTGGCTGGGTTTCCAGAAGGCCCATCTCCGGAGCCCCTCAGCATTTGGACCTCCCCGTTTGGCAAGGAGCCGCCCTCCACCACCTGAGAGCAATTATCCCATCATCTCCCTAGCGCATCTACCATCCTTTCATCATCGCCCCAGAATGGATATCTAGAGCCTTCCCGCACGTTGACCTCAAGACCCCGGTAGCCAGGGGCTGGCACTGAGCAGGAGAAGTGGACACAGCGCAGGAGGTGTACACAGAACTCTGCCCACTCTCACCTCTCCCTTGCCAGCCCCAGAGACAGGGAAGCCCTAAAGTCCTGCATGCACACCCTCCACCCTCGCACTGAAGACGCCCCCAGTAGGAGCAAGGAGGCAGTGACCAACATCTAGAGATGCTCCTCTTTGGGCCCACCCACAGCATCCTCCCCAACCAAGCACTCCCACCCTGCCATCCTTCACAGGTGGTTTAAGAGGGGACAACAAGAACTGCCTGACCATGCAGCCCCATAAACAAAGCATCTGAAGCTTCACAAACAAACATGGAGGGAGGAGAGGAGGAACAAGTCAAGCAGATCCTAAATGGTATCTCTTCAGACACCGTAGAGCAGTTCATCTGAAGACGACACACAAGCATGCCATAGGAGAGGGCCAGCCAGTGAGGCTCAGGACCTGATGACACAGGCCACAGGCAGAGTCTGGATTCTGTGCCCAAAACCCATTTTGTGAACCGTGAAGGGTGACCAGCAGCAGAGCCCTTTCTCTGACACAGCAAGAGGCCAGTCACGCCAGGCACCACACAGCGCTGCAGCAAGAGGCCAGCCACATGTCGTCATCAAGGGGAAAATTGTCACCGAAAGTTTTATCTAGGTGTTTTGGAAACTGACCTGGAGACCAGAGGCTCCTTCCCAAGCTGGCATCTCCTCTTGGAAGTCTTTCTAAGAACCACACGTGGTGAGGACAATGGCCAGTGGTAGATAGAAGGTCCAGGCAGCAAGCACTGTCAGCTTAGAACTGTCCAGGGTCTTCCTCCAAGCACCTGTCCTGTAGAGGGCCCCAGCCACTGACCAGCTCCAAGACAACGGTGTCGCCTCTGAGGTCCTTCGAGGTAAAGATCCTTCTGGAAAGAGTCACCATGAAATGCTGGTCACCTCTAAAGCAGGCCAAAAAATAATGAGCCCCATCACACCCCAGGGAGCACATTAAATCCTAGATATGTCAGCTCTATGATGATATCCCATATGGGGCCAGCCTCTAGGACAAAGGGACATTCAGCACCAACAATGGACATGTCTTCAAAGCTAATAATGGGAGCTGGCAAGATAGGAACCCAAAGGAAGGGCAGTTCCAAGAACCCCACTGACCATGGAGCATCCACCCCACCACGGAGCCAGTGTCTCACCCAGAATGTCTCTTGAGGCTAGAGGAAACTGAAGAAGACTGCTCATAGGCTACATGCTCTGGCATTGGTACCCATTCACCTCCTTCAGGACCCTCGCCAGCCTGTGACTATTGCAGTCAGCACATCTGTCTAGGAAGCACTCTGTAAAGGTTTGTGACAGGAAATAGAGTTTAGTTATGCAGTCACAAAGGACCTGCATTGTGATCAGGTCTTCTTCCTACTGGCCCCATTGGCTCCAGTCTAAGCACTAAGCACATGGATTTCCCCACCTGACCAAAAACTACATCCCCATTGATTTTCATCTCTCTCTCTCTCTCTCTCTCTCTCTCTCTCTCTCGCTCTCGCTCTTGCTCTCGCTCTCTCTCTCGCTCTGAAGTAAATTCCATTAAACTAATCCAATTCCCTGTTTAGCTTCCTTGACTATGCTGTTGAGCCATTTTCATTTCTTTTATTTCCCTTGTTATTTTCTCAGATCATTTTCATTAGGATCAATTCTTTCCCATTTAAAAATCCGGACGAGGATTTGATTCCTCAATGTGCATTCATCCACCCCAAATATTACTTCTCACGGCAGCTACCACTGCCACAGGCTGCCTCTCGTGGCTGCCATGTCTGTAGAGGACTGTTTCCCCAGGTCAAATGTCGCAGCTGAAATGTCGTCAAGAAAATTGGATTCTTCTGCCAGTTTGTAGTCAATTGAACACATTTTCCTCCGAGCCATTCCGGTAGTTTGTGGTGTTATTTTGTGATTATTTTATGGCTATTATTTAATGTAAACGAGATGAAATGCTGGTCGCCTCTATTCATTTCCTAACCCATTCAAGAAACGGAGAACAAGGTTTGGTGAGAGATAGGGTAGAAAGAGAAGCACACAGGAAGTAGGATGGGGTACTGGGGGAGAAAACAGGGGGGGGATGTAAGAGCTCCTGACCAAGTGAGTTGGGGTGAGGGAGACAGAGCAAGGAAAGCTACCATTGTCCTTGACACGTGAGCTCATTTGGCCAAGGTGTCTTCAATGTAGAGTAGCCAGCACGTTTGGAACCAGGAGGGGGCTAAGGATTGCTGTGACAAAGGGGATTTAGACTGAGAAGCGCTGCCAAGCAGACACTGGCATCTCTTTAGGGATTCCAGGGACCCCGTGTGCCTGTTCACACCATCTCCACCATCCATTCTAGCACGTGACATACACAGAGACCCAGAGCATTGCACCTCATCCCCAAAGCCACCCCAAGCAGGCTTTGATACTCAAACAAAAGTTGCCTTTGTGTGATTCAACATCAATAAAGCGAATTCACCAAGGGCAACCTCTGCTCCAGAATCAAACGTCAGCACAGGCCGAGAGCAGCACAGGGCGCCTCTTCCCAGGCGGCACTG